CTAATCCAAATATGGGCAAAGAGGAGAAGCTGAATGAAGCCTGTCACTCAAAACTGCCACGCCCTTAATTATGCATAACTTTAAGCCTTAATATAATTTAAAGGGGTGACTCACTGCTGGAGCCAGCCTCTAGTGGGCATTAGAAGAACTGCAGTTGGCTTCATATGCCTGGCGCAGAGGTTGCACTGGTTTGGTTCTCGACTGCCATCACTAGTACAGTGTAGACATTCTAAAGCTAATTTGACACACAAAAACCCAACAAATGCTTTCTGTCGAACGTGAGTGTGTGAGAATCGTGTAAATTAAGGTGAGGATGAAGATCAGCAGTATGACACCAGGAATCACACATGTAGGACAAACATTGTTCACAACATTCTCACAAGCACCAACATAACAACGTGGACTGAGACAGGAAGAAGTAAGCACATATCACACAAGCCATAAAGGGCGCACTGCTAGCATCAGCAAACCTAGCTGGCTAGTGATGTAACCTCCGATGGCTGAATCCAAAAGAATCACACTGGCTCCTGCTGCATATTGCAATATATCACAATATGTTGAATCATAACCCCTGTATTGTGATCGCCAATACACAGCCATAGACCCCACACGTCTTTTAGTCCCACACTCTGTGATAAAAGGCTTCCAGAAACCTTCTGTGGTTCTCCAGAGTTCATATTTGAGGCTTCTTTTCCACCAAATTAGCTCCAGTTCTTGAACCGGTTCTGTTCAAGATTCTCATTCCCAACGAAAACCTGATATTTTTTGGTTCCAGCTGCAACTTTTCAGGTTCAGAAACGACTTAGTTTTTGACAGAATCCTAAAGCTAGCTCAAAGCTAGGTGCCTGAACTGTTCTGAGCCGGTTCCCTGTTGGTGGAAAAGGCCCATCAGTGGAAACACTGAAGGTTCCTGGAGGAAGCTTTCAGAACGAGTTAATCGACCCAGACTGCAGGTTCTCTAACTGTAAGGAACATCCTGCTTTCACACTGTTCTACTGAAGATGTGCTGAACTTTAACAGTGTGGTTCCAGATGTTCTCATCAGTTGACATCTGTATTATGTCTTAAGTTGGACATAATATCAAGGACTCTCATTTAACAAGCATGTGGATGTCCTTTTTTTTGTCTGCTGATGATCGTAGAGAGGAAATGAAGGGAGAGAGAAGAATCAAATCAGATATCCCCTTTCCACCAATGAAAACCTACTGCTAGTTCTGGGCTGGTGTTGGTTCAGAGTTGGTTCAACTTCAGAACTGGTTAGCTTCATATAGTTCATCTGGAAATTCCATAAATCACCTCGGTACCCCTGTCGTCAACCTGTCCTCTGTCTCTGAGGTTGTGTTCACTGGTAGGCTGCTGAGCCCCATTTGGTTGCACACCAATGGCGACGATATTAGCAGTTAGGTAACGGCAGCTACATTAGCAGTTAGCTAACGGCAGTTACATGTGCAGCTAACAGTTGAGGCGATATAAAATACAACAAATTTGTTTTAGCATATATTGTTAAATATATACAATATAACTGAGGATGTGATCTTAAGTGGTTAAAATTACATTTTTCAGTTCACCTGGACTTTAATGGGGGTCTTTGTGTCTCCACAGAGTGATAAATAAGACTCAGCAGAAAGGTTTCACTGTTAGTGTTTTTCCACCAAATTAGCTCTGGTTCTTGAACCGTTCCGTTCAAGATTTTTGGAACCTTCTTGCTCTCTAGTGAACTGGCCATCAACAGGCCACTGCACAACGACCTGTAGAATATGACACACCCACTTTGGTTCCAGCTGGGAACCAACTTTTCAGGTTCCAAACCAATACATTTTTGGTCAAAAACCTCAGAACGGTTCAAAACTAGGCGCGCGAACTGGAACTGAGTCAGTTCTCTGTTGGTGGAAAAGGCTGATGTGACAAAGTGCTGCATCGCTGTTATTGTTCATGTTGTTGCTTTAAGTGTCGAAGCACTTTAAAGCAAAAGTTTCCACCACTGAGAGGTGTCTTACCATACAGCTGTTTATCTAGTAAGAAGTCATACAAAAAGGATAAATTAACTCAGATCAACAGGAAATGTTTCCATTTAATGTACAGACATAATGTAAAGGATCAAAGTGTTTGGGTTCACCTACCTGTTTTGACGAATCCACCTAAAAGGTTAAAAAATATGAAACAAGAAGTCAAAATCTGCTCCACTTAAAATATGTAAAAATCTATAAAAGGCTTTCAGTGCAGACAGACACTGAATAAGATTAACAGTCGGCAGGACAGAAAAGGGAAACATTAGCTTACCGACTTCTTGAAGCAACACAGCTGAAGAGAGGAAGCAGACGAGAAAGAAATCAGAGATAAAAACTGAAGCAGCAAAACATACAAGCAAAAAGGTAAAGAAAGAGGTCAGCCCTGATAACAGCGGCACCCTCTCAGTCCAGCTTACTTTGATTTCTCAATGAGCTTCAGGCTCTCATTTAACGTTCTCTGTTACTACTGGATGGTTTAGTGTTGAATGTTAAATTTAATACAAATTCAAAGCGAGACAGTGTGACATGAAAACAGACATAGGCAGGTTAAATACAGGGGCAGACAGACAGGATACATGGGTTTACCTGTACTCCACCAAAACCAGTTCAGTCCCTACCTTCACTAACTACTCCAAACCAGTCCAAACTGGGTCAATTCGAACCTGTCCTGACCAGTCTTAATCTGTCGTAAGGACGTAGGTCTGTAAACAGTCCTAATCAGTCCCACCGTCTCCTGACTTGACTTGTCAATCTTAACTGGGTCAAACCAGCCAATCCTGACTGATTCTGAAAACTGACCAATAGGAGGTCGTGAAGGAGAAGGCAGCACAGCAACAGCAATAGGAGCAAACTGAACAGAAGCAAGAAAAGATCGCCTCATGGTAGGTGAAGGAAAGGTCAAAGGTCATAGGTGCCTCTTCGCACCTGTCCATCTCCTCCTGTTCCAATACGGCTCCTTCAGCTCTATGTAGAAGCTGGCCTTCTTATCGTACTCCTCGTGGTCAATTATTCTAACGGCTATGGTCTTCCTGCGGACGAGAGGGTACAGACAACAACAGTGGGAGGGGAGGTCAGAGGTCAGGGGTCATGCATTAGTTCACCAACACACAAACAAACACATCGAGGCTGACAGGAGGAAGAAATGACCTCGCCTCGTCTGGCCTGCAGGGAGGAAGGGATCGAACTCTCCGACGTTAAAGTCACAATGAAAGAAATTCTGACTGTCTCACCTCATCAGCTGAGTCTTCACTTCATCGTAAAAACACCCTGAATATTTTACCCAAATCACCAAAATAAAACACTGCTCCCACTCACACACAGATTTTGGATTCACTTTCTGAGCTCCTGATAATAGAGCTGCAATGTAGGAAGAGCAAACATCTGTTCCAACTTATTCCTATATTACAGTTTAATGTATCTGTAAACATTAGTTAGGTAACTAACGGTTCTCTGGAAATACCTCAATCTGCATTCTCTCTCATGGCCAGCAGGGGGGCACTCCATTTGCTGCAGAAATACCTGCGTTTGTATTGATTGTAAGCCCAAATTCCACCGGGACAGGTCGCAGTGAGCCTCCTTCTCACTCAAAAACAGTTTCCTGATGAGTCTTCTTCCATACAGCATAATGTTCATTGAGGAGTCAGCTAATAGGAAGGCTAATGCTGTATTCGCATTCAGGCAGACAGACGGACAGCAGGGAGAAACAGTGAAACAGTCCAACAGAATGGTAGGCCGGAAAAACGAAGCATGCATGGCAATATGTTGCTCAGCTTAAAGAGACAACTAGAGGGGATGCGGGAGGGCCAGTATAAGATAAATAAGGATGTTTTTCAATCATCTACTCTATAGCCTGAGAATATAGAGCTGGAAATGAATAGGTCTCTTTTAAAAGGGTGCTGAATTAGCTGTCAGCAGCTCCTGTTAGCAACATAGCTATGGAACAAAACTTTACCACACGATGATTCTCTTTGGATTTCTGGACATTTATTGGATGATCAGAGATGATTATATCCTCAGGAAGTGTCGGTCACACTGACTCAGTAACGATGATGATTTGTGACGTTGTGAGCTCTCATTGTGACTTTAACTGTCAGCATTTACAGTAAATGGATCTGTGCTGCTTTTTCCTGCGAGGTCTCGAGGTGAGTTTGGATTAATGTAAGGTTAAAGGTCGTTAGTGATGCGGGCGGGGTTACAGCACAGGAAGGCGACACCCCCACCTTTCCTCTCACTCATCTCCAGCAGCCGAGGCTCGCCGATCTCTAGGAAGAAGTTCTTGTTTTTTTCATATTCTTCATCATCAATTATATTGATCTGAAAGGTTTTGCTGAAACAGAAAACAGAGAGACAGAGTGGTTGCAGAAGGAGGAGTGTGCACAAGTCCGAGGAGGCGTGGTGAAGGAAAAGGTGTTTGATGTCGGAGACAGTGGTAGAGAGTGCAGGGAAACAACATTCAGAGAAACATCTCCCTAAAAAAGAATGCATATAATAATAATAAACTTTATATAAGCCAACAATTCTTCTGTCAGTGTCTGAAAATGTATATACTGCAACACACCTAACACAACAAGTCCAGACACACATAGGAAGCAGAAAAAAATTAAACAGTTTGGAAATTAAAAAAGAAATGTGTCAGCTAAAAAGATGATGGCATCACAAGTGGACAGCTCTGAATACAGCGTAAACAGCCGTAGCAAAGCATTGTGATCTGATCTCTCAAACCACTTGCCGGGGCCGTCTGGCACATGTTTGACCCCATATCTTTCGTAGTGTAAACGGTAATGCATCCTGGTCCACAATGAATACTGCCTACGTTTATTTGCATATATATAGTGGTTAGATGTTGATACAATGTCCTCTACTGCAAGTGGACACTGTCCTGCTTACATAGTTGTGTTATAAAAGAAGCGTCTCTCTGCTCTGCTCCACGTAGAATCTCATCTTCCACAACCCTATGACGTTTTTTATAGAAGTCAATGTTTAGGAGAGGACATAAGACATCATTTTATAACTATTTATAACGCAGACCAGAACTCTGCTGGGATCCAGTGACACTCTCAGACATTCTGATACACAGACTGAGACCTGCAGTGGCACCCTGTTTACAGCTGGGGGTGATATCACAGCGTAATTCGTTTCCACAGTTTGACACAGTTTGTTCTGGAGTTTTGGAGGCTTCACTGAGCTGCAGGCTACAGCAGCCCTGATTGGACAGATCCACAGTGTGTGTGTGTGTGTCTGTTGTAGGTGTGCCAGCAGGTTGGAAAATCGTTGCCCTCCATCCATCAACATTGTTATAGCCGATCTATACACAGAGTAATTAAAATCAAGAGTGCTTGGAGTTTTGTCTCTAGCTGATTTCATGACAACAAGATAGGATTTCACATTTAATTATAACTCCTGGCTTTATTTAAGAAATAATACTAATATAACAATAATCACACAATTCTTTTATTAATATATAAAGAAAGATTGCCTTTTCAACTGATTTGTATGGATTATCAACACATCCAGTTCTACTTCGATGACCTACTCTATCTTTTGGCATTTGGAGCATCATTGCCCTATATATATATATATCAATAGATATGTTATTTATTCTAGCAGGACTTTCTCATGTACGGTCATGAGTGCATTGGCCTCCTCTTCTATGTATATATCTTAGTCCTTTTGGCCCTTTTTGTATGTTCATGTATCTTGCATATCTATTGTGAGGCCACTGAGCACATACAGCTATATATTATTGAGGAATGAATCATTATTTCCTTATATTTTGGTGCACCACGACATGGGAGAAAATATATCAATGTATAACAGCAGCAAAGGTATGGGATACGCAGAAAAAACAGTATAAAAAAAATCTATATTAACTGATTTACGTATATTGACGAGGAAATACTATAAAACTACGTACAAGGAGAAAAACAGTAAGAATCCACAACAAACAGCATAGACACAAATTGGTAGCAAGCAGTTTCACATCGGGCTATCCAATATTCCAAAATCAATATGTATGGGCATATCTATGATATTCTATTCTATTTCTTTTTATCCTGTCTCTCAGAAATAAAGTGATATGTGAAATACTTCTAAATAATAACACTTTTATTATATAAAATAATGATGTTAATCTATTATATAACTGATTGTACCAGTTCAAATATGATTCACTAACTATATGAGATCACAGCGTAACCATACTCGTCTAGTAACGAGCAAGCCAGCATCATCTTAGTTTTGGATCACTTAAGAGACCTTTTAATCCCGGTCATTGATGCATATAACGTATATAGAAAGGCTGGCTTGTATCATGCGAGTAGAACAGTATGAATGTTTAAATTGATATTATCTCCCTAATTAGTAAATTTAGTATTTTCATAATGTAAAGCGCATAGCTTACGAATACTGTCTTTATCATGGACGGATCTACCATTATAAACACCAAAACAGGGACGCAGTACAGCGTTCTAACTTAAAAGAAGTTTTGCTGTAAAAACTATAGATTTGGAGGATTTTTGGGCAGTTAGTTTCCTGCTTCCTGAAAACCGTTTTAATATCAATTCTCTGATCTTATGTATATTGATGTATTTTTTTTTAAACCATTTAAGAATGAATGAATCCAGTGCTATTATGGTCAAACTCTTCTTCTCTTCATTTTGTACATTTGCTATTGCTACGCCACGTTCTGTCAGAATTGCTCGTGCTACAATTGAACTCACAGGATCACCGGCTTCTTGTGTAAGTTTACAGACTAATCGTACAAATGTACTTTGACGTCAAATTGTGTATCGGTTGGCAGGTCTGTAAGTGACCTGGATACTTCCTGCACCTTTCTTTAAAAAAAACTGGCAGACCTCTCCTTAAGCAAAGATTGGATTACGTTAGCATAACGTGTGTAGATTAAGCTGCAGTATAATACTGTAAGGGGTGTGTGTTTTGTTTTCTGCCATATAGAAAGAAACAAAAAGTATATTTAGTTAAACCTGAACCCTCACAGCACATGAAAGCCCAGCTAACAGCTAGTTAGCCAGCCTAACATAACGAGTCAGGCCTAAATACAGCTTTAAAAACCATAAAACCGCAAATACGTTTTGGACATAAAACATTAACTGTGCAA